AGCCACTGGGTAGTTCTTCATGGCTTTCTGCAGCTGCTGCTGCATGGCATCTCTGAATGTGTCAAGGCAGGCTTGAGCAGGACCCCACCTGGACCCTGTTGGGGCAATAAACTCATCGAGGACAGAGAAAAAGGTGTGGTGTCATCCACCGTCTCCCCAACCTGATGGAGCAAGAAGCCAAGGGGAAGCCTTGTGGAATGCAGGGTGGGACAAAGCAAGCAGAGCAGCACGATTTCCACAGTCCCAGAAAGGAAACTTCCTTCAAACAGCCCAGACTGAGGATGTTAGGTACCTTAGGTACTGGGACGTGGGGATGAGATCCCCTTGGAGCCTCCTTTGCTCCAGGCTGAACAAACCCAGCTCTCCCAGCCCATCCCCATCCGGCTGAGAGAGGCTTCCCAGCCCTTGGATCCCCTTGGTGCCCCTGCTCTGGGCCCCTCCAGCCTGCCCACAGCTTTTTTGTACAGCAGGGACCAGCACTGCACCCAGGATTCCAGGGCACTGGAGGGACAGAGGTTCCGGTGCTGGAGGGAGCCACGAATGTGTGTGGGCTTGTGGCTGCCGAGGGTGGCCTCTGCATGTGCCGTGGGACACGGGCTCAGCTTTGCTGCTGGTTGTCCTTGCAAAGGGCAAAGCAGCAGCCGCAGCATCCCACAGCCGGGACAGACACCGGGTCCCTGGGCTGGGCTCCGGCGGCCGGGCAGGAGGGTCCTGGGCTGGGGCTGCTGGAGGAGGTGGCCATGCTCCCAGCATCCCTGGACAGGCTGGAGATGCTAAGAGCGACTACCTGGGTGTCCTCTCCATCAGGTGTACCACCATGTGTCAGGTGCAGAATTACAGCGATGATCACAGTGACGTGGGTTGCCCTTTAACTCACCTCGTTATCAGAGTCTTCCTCCTGCCGTCCTAACAGACTAATGCCAAACCGGGGGTGACCTTGAGAGGGTGGTGGGGTGTTAGCGTTTACTGGAAACCAGCCTCTCTGCAGATCAGAAGGTGGTGGCTCCAGGAAGAAAAAAAGTATTGTAAGATCCTCCTGCAGGGGAGAGAAGAGCACAGTCATGTTCTTCACTGCCTCCATTTGAGAAGGATGTCATCACTGCCTCCAGCGGGGTCACAGCAGGAGTTTTATGAAGTTTTGTGTTTCTGGCTTCTTCACAGGACACCGTGTCTGCCCGCAGCCTTCTCTTCTCCAGGCTGAACACCCCCAACTCTCCCAGCCTGGCCTCAGAGCAGAGGGGCTCCAGCCCTCGGATCATTTTAGTAGCCCTCCTCTGGCCCCGCTCCAACAGGTCCATGTCCTCCTTGTGCTGAGGGCTCCCAAGCTGGACGCAGGGCTCCAGGGGAGGTGTTCCCAGAGCAGAGCAGAGGGGCAGAATCCCCTCCCTCGATGCTGGCCATGCTTCTCCTGATGCAGCCCAGGGTAAGGTTGGCTTCTGGGCTGCCAGCGCACAAGAAGCATTGCCACAGAAGAAGTCCATTACAGAAGATTTTGAAGTTTATGTCAGTTTATAAAAAAGCCTCTTAGCTTCAGATTTGCAGCGCTGTTGGAACCTCCTCTTGCACAGCAGACATGAAACTGCAGCAAAACCCAAGGCCGTGTAAACCCCTCCTCCCGCCACGTGCCCGTCTCACTCCTTTGAGTCTTCACTCACCTCCTCTTCCCACTTTTTAACCACCTCTTCAAGAAAACAACCCACCTTCCTCTGCAGGTGGCCCTTGGGTTTCAGGATCTTGCATAAATTTGGGAGCTAGTGGCAAAAAAAAATTCGGTGCTTACACCTGGCTGCAAGGGCTGGAAACCCTCAGCAAACAGGGCAGCTTCTGGGCGAAGCCACCAGACCGTCCCATGGAAGGGTCACCATGCCTGGTTTTGCTCCCCTCCCCCCCCCCCAAGATGTCACACTTTGTCCAGCATCTCCTCGTTGCCTCAGCTCTGGAGCTCCTGGAGACCAGCAGTGACACCTGGGCGTTCACCGAGACCTTCCTCCTACCTTCCTCAGCCTGCTTGCTCAGGCACGGCTGGAACACCAGGTTTGTTAGCTGACCTTGGACATGACTCCAGCATCTTGCCCTGAGTGGCCTGGGCTCAGTGAGGTGCGTGAGCTGCAGCACACCCACCCTGGTGCCAGCCGATGGCTCTAGAAGTCAAAGAGCGACCACCCGTGCCATCGTCCATCGAGAGGAACCCCCGAGACACCACAGCTGGTGCCCCTCTACCTCTGCCTTGCACCCCAGCGATCCTGGCCATGCCACCAGGCACCCAGGCCGTGGTGCTTGTGAAGCTGCAGGGAGAGGACACACGGGGAAACCATGGCAGGAGTGGGTGGGAGAAGGTGAAACCAAGCAGTGTCACAGGTTTTGGGGCTAAGTGTCACTCTCCTCCCCCATAAAATCTCACATTTGCTTCCTATGTGACCCCGCAGGGCAGGGAGGCTGCCTGGTGCTGGGATGGTTTCTCTCTAAAAGCATTACTGACTTGCTGTCCATCTGTCCTGGCCATCCTGGAGGAATCCTGCCGCTCCTCTCGAGAAATCCAGGTCCCCTTCCCCATGTCTTGAAGATGCAAGTGGGGCTTGGTCCGGCACTGTTCAGGTTGGTCTAGCAGGGATGTTTTTTGGGAGAGGAAGGACAGGAGCATGGGCTGGATATGGATCCATCACCCTGCTGGATCCTGAGGAGCATCTCCTGCAGGTTTTGGCAGCGTGTGGTCCCACCTGGGAGACGACACAGCCCATCTGCTCATGCATGGCTTCCCTGACTCCACCAGGCTGTGCAACGGGCTCTGGCCTCCATGCCCAGCCCTGACCCCCACAGTGGGGCTGTACAGGGACACCAAGCCCTCTCCCTGGTCCCCAGGGGCTGGGCACCTCCATCGGACACACGCGCAGGCTGAAAGCACAGGCTCAGCTAAGCTCTGCTCAAAGAAAGGGCTTTATTGAGATGTTGGCTTGGACAGGAGGCACTTGGGGGCTGTACAGGTCTCAGGGGGACAGGGACATGGTCCCCCCCGAGCTTCAGGCTTCCAGGAGCAATTTCCAGGCACCACAGAGCCTTGGTAGGGTCGAGCTGAGAGCACAGCCCTGCCCGTGGAGCCATCCCTTGGTGCCTGCAGCACCTTGGGACCATGGAGGACCATGAGCTTTGGGGTGTCCCAAAACCTGGGGGTGATGGCCGATTTTTCCTCCATCCCCTGCATTGCCCCCATCAGTAAAACACCTTTTCCAGATAGGTGTTCAGGAAGATCCCCGTGGGGTCCAGCTTCTCCCGGACGGAGCAGAATTTGGGGAAGGCTGGGTACATCTTCTCAAAGTCCTTCCGGGTGCAGCTGTGGGCCTGCAGGAGAGAAAGAGTCCGGGGGGGGCTGCCCGTCAGCGGGGACAGTATTGCTGGCCCTGGACTCCCACCACCATGTGCTGTGGGAAAGCCCCTGCAGAAGTGGTGGGACCTCCATCCCTTTATCTACGTGCCCAGGGTGGGGAGCAAACAGGGGAACACCATCTCCTCGAGGCATCCATCTCCCTCTGGGACCAGTCCTATGTGGGGGGGCCCTTCTCTGACCCCCACTTGACTGAAAACCCCCCATCCCATGAGGAGCCATGATGGAGAAAGGGAAGGGACCCCCATCTGCAGACCCGCTCT